ATACTCCCAGCTATACCTCCTGACCCCCATTAGCAACCCGCTTGGCTACCGCCAATTATCATCATCAAGGTCCATCAGCTGCCAGCAAAGCGTGGCCATAAATTACAGAAGGTGCTAAGCGCCATACGGACCAAGTAAAATTGCTAGAGATAATGACACACTTCCCACACCTCCTTGGGGTCATCGCCGGACCTGAACCAGGGAGGCCAGCAGCCCGTCGACAATGTCATCATCACCATCGTCGTTAAAGGCCCAAATCTGCGCTCTGGGCAATGTTATTGTAACAATCGACACCCAGCGCGTTAAAAACACACATACGAGTGTACAGCCGAGTTGATTGCAGGGGTCGCTATGACCCGTGGCGTATTTCGGCTTTGACCAGCGTCCCCTCCCCCTGCCAATTCCATTCCATTCCGATTCCGATCCCGAATAGCACTCCCAATCCACGGGGGTGTTGACAATTCAAACGCAATAATTGCGACGGAGAACCGCACAACGCTCGGCGGGATTCGCAGCTCCGAGGCGATTTGAGTTGGGACTGCCGAAAGGTGTGGCGCGCTCGTTACGTCGTGTTTGACACAATGTCAGCTTCTGTAATAAGTCTCTGGCCGTAAAAAGCAGTAACATGCCCATGCTGCTGGCAGTTGCAGCTCGCTTTGATCTGCGCTCCGGGGTAGTTGTAGTTCATCCTGGACCGAGAAGCCACACACCCCTGTGGGACTCAGGCGAGACGCGGTTTTAATGAAGGCTCACCCCGAACTTCGTAGTGGCGGCGCTCTGGTTTCTGATTTTTGATCCTGTTACCCATTGTGGCCATTGTGCGCGCTCTGCATCATTTGCGTGGCTCGGTTTTTCCCGCATCACTTTTTTTGGTTGGGTGTTTATTATTAGCCTGGCAAATACATCCGCCAGGCGAAGTCGAAACGCCAGCCGGCGATCCTTTTCTAGCCTTTTCAGTTCCTGTCGAGTTGGCAGCAATTGTGCCCGGACGGCGGTGAATGTCGGTTTAATGAGTTGAATATGTCAATGGATGCCGCTGGGCGGCTGGCGGTCATTAACATTTGCAATTACGCAACATTTTTGGTAAAAGGAATATGAGTCATTGCGAGAGCGCACTTCCAGTGGGGAGGCGGCCGCAGGCGAGGTTACAAATGATGTGGAAGAACAGAACATTGTTAACTGGATCCGATGACTCGAAATACAATTTTTTAGGGCTTATTTTTAAACCGCGCATTGCTTTTCTTAATGTGTCTATTAACTATTGGAAGCTAAAATAACTTTAACTTAATGGAGGCATAAGTCATTGAAGTGTAGTATAGTATAGTAACAAAAGATCACGCATGATCACTGTGGAGGGCGTTTTACGTAGTAATGAAGAGCACAGAGCAAAAGGTACAAAACTAAAAAAAAAAAATAGTTTCCTAAAAATACGCATTAAAGGACACCTAATTGATTTAAATCTGATTCGAAAGATACTCCTAAAACAATACTTTGAGGCAAATGTAATTACATATGCAGTGCGTACAAGCGTATTGGAAATTTCAAAAATGTTAAAGCCTTATGTTCAAGGACTCCGGATCAATATGCTCGCTATGGCCACGGGAAACAGGGTGACATATTGCACTAAGGGAGTGGCCGCCGTCCAAGTGGGTTACTTAGAGCGGTGAAAGCGCCGCCACTAGCAAGGACGAACTGATGAGCAGGACTCTACTTATCGGAGCGGTATCTGCCCGCTGCCGGTGCTCAGTAAACCGCGAAATCGAATCCGCAGATCGGCGGACGGGTGAAAACACAGAACTGATTCAACCGCGGTAATAAATGAAGGAAGGACGCCCGAATGTTTGCCTTTGCTTTGACATGTTTGACAACAATGGCGAAGGGAGGGCGAGTGCGGGAGGGGCGCCTTAAGCCGCTGACAAATGCGATTGCCTATGAAAATTGAAAAATACAAGCCGTCGGCGGAGGGATGCAACCCTTAAGTCGAGTCCTACGAGGTCCTGCCTGGGCATTTGCATTGATTTCAATTAATTCGCTTGTTGTGTCATTTCCGATCCTTTGCGAGTGTTGTTCGGATTGCGTGGATGTAATTGATATTTGGCATGGCTGGGTTTTCGGGCTGGTGAGTCAAGTGCCGGCACCCCGACGACCGAGGGAAAATTATGCAAATGCCAAACATGCATTAGAGGCCAGCGGACCTCCTTCGCCCACCTCTAATCCCGGATGGAATTATTCAGGCGGATAACTTCCGCGTCGTCTTCGCTCAGCTGTGCGAATTTCCCTGCTGCGGAGGATGCGTCGGGGTGACAACAACCAACTGTCACTGACAGCTTCACTGCCATCAGCCAGGACAACAAGGTGTTTGCGGCCCGGGCTGGGCTGCGATTTTCCAAACGGAAAGGATGAGTCAGCGGCATTCACATTCGCACTCGCACCCGCATTTCCCCAGTGCTTTTAGTTTTGTGAATTCCAAATGCCAGGACATCTGTTCAAGTGTTTTTGGATCAGTCCCAATCCTCAAGCGCTTTTAATGCGCTTAGTTCTGAAAGCGTGTCTAAGTGGCATGCAACTTAAAGAACAGTGATTCGGTGATTTATTCCTATCCTCCCCCTAATTTCTCATAATTGCTGCCATTTGAATGCCCAATTTAAACAATTTAGGGAGTGTGACTATTATTAGTTTGTATTGATTGGGTCGTGCGTGTGAGAATAATGTTGTGTTCATGAATCGTTGATGAGGATCAATCGATGCGACTGTCCCTGGAATATTAATTTCGAAGGACATGAAATATTTATGCAGGATTTGTCCTTTATTTATAAAATTCTTTGAGCACGGGTTAATCGGTTTAAAAAGTTAAACTCTCGCAGGGCTTTATTTTTGTATACAAAGTTTTTTCCCCAGCAACTTTCCTTGGCTTCCATTTTGGGTTCCCAGTTCCCAGTTCCCAGCTCGCTGTTAATTGTTAATTGGCTGCATCGATTGTTAATTGCTCCAGTTGTTGTTGGTGGGTACCTGATTGGGGCATTGTGAATGAAAAGTTTTGAGTGCTTTCGTCTGGCGAAAGTTTGTGGCGAAACAAAGGGCGCTTCGCCAGCGGTTTGATTGGTTGGTGAATTAATTACGTGCATTGCCCAAGATTACATAATCCCCCGTGGCAGCTCATCCCCAGCATCCAACTTAACGCGAAGTTTCCCCACACACATCCCCCTCGTCCCTTGACTTATGCCTCATTTCGGCTCGAAAATGTTCCGTTGATAATCCCGAAAAATAGAATGCCAGATCCCCAACAGTCCCATTCCCAGTCTCGTTTCCAGCCATTGCCCGTTTATGCGATTTTTATTTATTTTGCTTTTAACAAAATTTGGCAAATTTACACTTCGCTGGCACGACAGCAAACAATAACAGCACATCCACAACGGCCGAGCATCCAATTCCGATTGCGATTCCCGCCCCACTTGCAGGGCAGCCTGATTGCGCCATGGCCCCATAAATAAGGGCAGCATTCAATGCAAATTGGACTATTTACGCAAATTTTATTGCCACACAATTTTTACACATTTATTTTGCTTTTGTTGTAGCTAGTTTTCCCTTGCCACATGCTTTATTCCTTTGTTGTTGCCCATACTTTGTTGCCCCAGTGGAGTTGGTGCCCCAAGCGTCTACTGAATAAGGCCATTTGGCTGAAGCTTCCTTGCCTTTCGCTGGGCCGACAATTTGGCTTCTTTGTTGTTCGCCCTGTCCCGAATCGTCTCGACCCCAAGCTGAACCCTTTCTGCCTCGTCGAATTATGCGATTTGTGTCATTATTCCCTCGCTAAACGAGGCAAATTCTCCTCCGCCCATCCGAAGGCGCTGGGTGGCCGAATGTGTTTTTTATTGACATTTAGACGTGTCGCAGATTTGGCCCGGCCTCATTGGGTTGATTCCAGTTGGCCTGGCTTCCGCCATAAAGTCGCCTACGGTGGGGATTTACCAATAAATTCGATCTAGTGAAAATTTACTGCCATTGCTTTTTAAACCGCGACGCGTGCTGCCCCTGAATTTTTATCTCCAGGAAGTTGACATTGATGGCTTGCCGACGAGCGAGTGGAACTGACCTCTGAAGCGGAATATGTTCAGTGAATGGGTAATTGTTCGGATGTAAGCGTTTGATGGGGCATGAATTACGAATAGGACTTAGTTTGTGGCTGATCAAGTCGCTCTTAGGCGGCCAAAAAGAGTGCAATTAGTTTCGTTCAATTCGTGCAATTCTGCCGGTTATAACAAGCATGTCCACACACATCAACCCCGAAATTAACAAAGTTATTAGCTCGTTATCTTTTGGACTGTATATTTACACAGTTGGCTCCCAAAAGCCGAGCAAATCAGTGTAAAATCCCACCGAAAAGGACCGATGCCAACGAGCAGTTTACCCCTAATTTTGTCGCTTGTGTTGCTTAAAATTCAAACAATGTGTTGATGCCTTCACACCAACCAAAACATGCATAATTAATATGCAAGGAGCGGCAACAACCACTACAACAACAACCACAATGGCAGCAACAGCAGGCAAGGAGCAACTTTTCCGAGCGAGTTGCTTGTGGAAAATTGAAAGGGTTAGCATCATTTTTTGCGGACGTCCGAGGGGACGGGGTTTAGGCCGAGGCGACACTTTGCTTTTTGCCTGCTTCATTATCACAGCTTCCGCGTCAACATTATTTCCGCAAAGCAGCAACATTGGGGGTTGGGGGATGGGGACTATTGCCATGCATAATTCACATGAGAAAAGCAACAATGGGCGACGACAATGAGCGGTGGAAAAGTGAAAACCTCCACCCACTGCGGGCCAACTGCGAAAATGCTTTAATTGAAGCAAACCCTCACACACCGCAGCAATCATTTGCATATTTCAATGCATGCAATTAGGCGCAGGGAGCGGGAGTGGGGTTGAGGGGAGCCAGCAGCAACTGACATGACTTGGAAAAATTAGTACCTCCATACATTTATTCCCTCTTCTCCTTTCAGCCAAGTCCCGGCATTTCACGGTCAACGGTCTTCTGAGTGCCAATAACACGCTCCAGCAGCAGCAGAACCAATACAACCTGCAGCCATCGAATGACAGTCGCAACATCTACAACAATCCCTATATTCCGCCGCAGCAGCAGCAGCAGCAACAGCAGCAGCAGCAGCAGCTGCAGCAGCAGACGCAGCAGCGCACCGCCCACCTGTTCAAGGCCCTAGCTGCCTCCGCCGGCGGCACCAACAGCCTGACCCATCCCTACGACTTCTCCAACTCATCGTCCTCCTCCAACGCCAACAACGAGCACCAGGGATCGTCCTCGTCGGAAGCGGAAAACGCCTTCCTAACTCATAATAACGGTGAGTAGTGCGATTGGTGCATTCAATTTGTGTATTGTTGTTTAATTATTGCTAAATGTGGGCGGAAATAAAATAGATAGATAAATCGCAGCTGCTGCTAAAAAATAGAATAAGAGTTGTTCGCAATTTCTTCGTTTTTTCGATATAAACAAAAGTCACATAGGAATGGGCTCGATGATTTTCGAAGACTTTGGAGGAAGTATAGAAGTGGAGAACTGCCTGGATGAACGGTTGCATAATATGCAGGGCTGCAAATTGAATTAGGACTCGTGCAATTAAAAACACAACTTCCCGGAACTTTCAAGTAATATTTCCTTTTCCCGAACCTTCGCAATGAATCAGGGGCAGCGGGCGGAGCAACTTGCTCACCTGGCCGGTTGGATGCCAGCTTGCCATAATTTGCACGCAATTTGCATTTCAAGTGGCCAATTCCCCGCCCGCCCCGCTCGCACTCTCCAACCTCAAGTTGGCCAGTGGTCGGGCGTCTGTCCTTCTAATTACGTCTCACAAAAAGTGCTCGGTGGCCGTAGCTCACGGCAGCTTCAGTCTCGGGAGCCGGAACATGGCTCTAACTTGGCGCCCAGTCCGGCGGCAGTAAGTAAAATTTATGTGAGTGCTTATAATTTGTAAAAGTAAACGAACCGGAGAGCGCACCCGTCAGAGCAAGAGGTAAACGAGAGTTTGTTTAGCAACAAATTACGCAGGACGCGCTTGGAAAAGGAGTGCGGTTCCCAGATTTATGTGGGTGCAGTTAGCGACGCAGGGAATCGGTATCATCGCCATGATTATCCGGGAATTGAATCATCACCGAGCTCGCTAGGAGCATTCCAATCGGATGTTTCAGGTTTCAGTGTCTTCCGCTTAAAGCCGTGCTGAACTGAAATGAGAAGCTACTCCTGCCAGATCCTCTATCGTTTGCTCAACTTCCGAGAAGCAGCATCACCATCACCATTGTTGGCTGCGCTTCTTAGGAGGGCCATAAAATGTGGCAAAGTGCAATTGCCTGGCAGGCCAGGAATGGGGCGTAGGTCGAGCAGACGCCGCCAGTTATGCAATAAAAATCATTAAAAAATATAAAAATGAAAGCGGCCAACTTAACAAGCAGACAGCTGCCCCGCCCTCGTTCCTCGTCCGCCGAAGGACGGATCCGATGGAGCCGTGAGAAAGGAATTGAAAAAATCGTGGCAGGCGCTGCGAGATGCATCGTCCTCGTAACGAGGAAGTAGTAACAAGTAACAGAAAACTAAACGAGCGCCCAGCGCCATAAACTTAAATCACGATTAAAAGTGTGATTATCCTTGTGGCGCTACAAATCGCCGCCGCTGCAGCTGACAACCCGGAGGACCAGGACGACCAGGACGCAGCCACCGCCTGTCCTTTGGCTTCCTTGGATCCGTGCCTGCCCCTCCTGCCCGACTCCTTTCCGTAGTTGTCTGATTTTATATCTTTACAACCAGGCGCGGCTGCGGATGTGCAGACAAAGATGCTCTCTTCGCCGCATCCTTGCTGTATTTCCAGAAGAGTGGCCGACTGTTGTTGCTCGGCGTGTTTTGTTTTGACTTGGAGATTGCCCTTGGCTGACTAGTTCGGCTACAGGACATAGGCGAGGAGCCCGTTTTAAAGCTAGTTGGCAGTGTCCTTAAAGAGCATGCCATGCAATTAATCGAATTTAATTAACCCCACACTGTTTCATTCATAAAAGATTCCAGAAAACTCTGATTTTTTGGCTGATTGGCAGAAAGCAAAGCCGACGCAAACCCCTTTTTGCAGTCACAAATCTTGGCATTATTTCCCGCTCACATCGTAAATAACCAGAGCTGGCATTGGAACATTGCATATGTCCAAAATGCTGTCCGTCAGTTTTAGGGCTTTTTGCTGGGATCCTCCCCTAAACTGTCAATTGTTCGATAGATATTTACCAATTTTACAGTCGTCCTGGCCCGTCCTGCCTCGATTCCACTGCGAACACAAGGGCAAATGCAAATAAACGCCGGCCAAAGTGGGTCTAGAACAAAGGAGCAGTCAGGGGTGGCTCGGCCACTCGGCTTATCACAATTGACCCATCACACGCCTTTGGCTGGCTGTCTGTCTGGACATTGGTTTAAGGCCCCCTTCTGCCCCTTTCACTCCAGCCTGTCGAACCGAACAATTGACTCTCGTATTTCACTGATGAACTTAACTTATGTCAAAATATGCGATAAGTAATCCTTTTTAGCCCCGACATTCGGCTTCCTGCGTGGGCTCGTCTATTCGTCCGCCCAGAATCTTTGAACCTTTCGCCTGTGCAAATATTTTCTTTCCAGCGATAATTCCATCGCTGTAAGTTGCTTTTTCTGTACATTTGTCACGAAATCTAAAACAAAAAGTTTATTTATGTTTTCTTTGCCCAGCATTGAGGACTCGTAATGAATTGTGACAGGAGACTGACAGATGGGGGGCAAGTGGTCAAGATGAGACTTTGTTTGGGTTTCATTTGCCCGTAGTCGTGGGGAGGCGGACTCATCCGCTCTAGTTCAGAAAGATACACAAACATTTCTCCCACTGCCCTCCACTTTTGATAGCGACAATTTCATGGTTCCGCTTCATTTCCAGGATGCTGCCAGGATGAGCACACATCCATCTATCCAAGGCCTGTCTTATCGATGGCCCATCACCCTTGCCAGCCATCAGTCCCCCAAGCTCAGCGCCGAGATTCTCAATTAGGATAATCTCCGAATGACTAAGCAAATATTGGCAAAATTCGAAAATTCGATGCGGACTAGACCCGGGTCAAAACGCATCGGTCACGAGGCGAGGTCCTTGCAGAGTGTGTTTTTTGGAACTCATCAAATGTTCCGCCCTGGCAGAGGAAATGCGTCTCTGGGGGACCATGGGCCACCATGCGTGGGGCGGGACAAGGGTGCAGCCCTCTATTATATGCACATAAAAATAAATTCCAAGACTTTATTATGCCCATGTACTTGTCATTGTCGATGTGTGTGCAATGGACTGTGTTTGCAGGGCCTCCTGTCCCTGTTCCTGTCGCTGTTCCTTTGTCCCGGGTTCGGAGCTCAGTGCTCGGCGTTGGGGAGACCTGCAATTGCAATTGTTGTTGACTGAACCCACGGAGGGTTGGAAGGTGTGGAATGCAGGAAGATTACAGGCGTGCAGGGGGCATTTTGCATTTGTTGTGCCCTGGACTGCAGACTGTGTTTAATTCTTCGCAAATGTTCAATTGCATAATATGGGATGAACGCTTCATTGGCTTTCTGCTGGGTGCGTTTTCTGTTCGGCTATTGAGTAGAGCGTAGAGTAGAGTAGAACGATAACGGCACCACAGCTGCTTGACAAATTGAATTAGAAAGCAAGCCCTATATCTCTCTACCAAACTTTCGAACAAGTTCTCTGACTTGCCATCCAACCACGGCAATCTCCAATCATGTGTGACTTCGCCAGCGTTTTTGCTTTTGTCGAATCGGCAAAGTCTACTGGAGCACAGCCGCCCACGGCTGGCAAACAAACAAACTGCCAAATGGCAGTTTGATGCACCGAAAGTAGTAGACAAAAAGTGCAGCCGCCTTTTAGGCGCTAGGCCGACTTAGAGTGCGCGCCAAGCGGGCGGCAGTGGAAAAGTTCTCCGTAGATGTGGATGTAGATGGTTATTGATAACCGAAAGTGGCTTCTGGCCCTAAGAGCGCCTAAGTGTATGCCTCAAATATTGTGCAACTGTAATTTGGCAATCTCAAGTACACCACACACACCCAGGGCAAAAGGACCAATAGGGCAAAGGGGCTGGAGTCGGGGGCGGGAACTGCACAAAGTGACTTTTCAATCTCCATTGAGATGACAGAATTTTGCTTTCAACTGCTGGCCAAGCACTTGAGCAGGTCTTTTGGTCGACGTCAAGTGGGATGTTGTGGTCAGGCCATTATAACTTATAACTGGAACTGCTTCAATCCACTTCTTAGTCCTTCCATTTTGCAAATGAAATGCAAGCTGACATCGTATCAATTTAAATCAAATGAAGTGCAATTTGTGCCATCCCATCCTTCACTTTCGGCTGGGCAGCCTGTGCACAAGACCCAGTTTAAGGACAAAAGTGCTCGGGGCAAAGCAATCCAGCGTTAAGTTAAGTGCCGAAAACTTTAACACACTTTTCGACTTTAGTTATGAGCCTGGCCTGGCTACAATTCGGTGACCGTTCGGCCGTTGACATAGTTCTGAGTGGACCAGGCACGTCCAAGTGCGAAAGTTGCAGCTCATTACGTGGCCTGCAGCCCAAACGGAGTGGCAAGTTTCTGACCACCGGTGTTGTGTGCAAATTAGAACGTACTTTAAGTGAGCAGATAAAAGATGCGATGGGTCCTGAAACCCCACGCATGTGCCTCGACACCACGACAGCCCGACTCCCCGACACACCTGACCAATTTGCGCTTTTGACCCCTCGGCTGGCGAAAACGATGCCAGCAATTTAATGAGCTGCCATTTATATAAAAAGGAGCAAAGTAGCCAAGTGCCGGTAGTCCAGGGGCTGGGGGCGGACAAATATTTAACAACGTCGGTGGACTTTCCCTCCGCAGACAGACACACAAATGGAAGGACTCGGGGCACTCACATGGCTCCTGCGTCCCTCTGTTCATCTTTTCTACTCGACTGTGATTCATGCAGAGCAGCAACGGCGGCAGCGGCAGCGGCAGCGGGAGCAGCTGGCCATAAAAATGGCTTAAAATGATCATCATAAACGTTGAGTGAGCAAATATTGCAATAAAAGTAAATGACTGAAGGACGTCGTAAAATATTTATACGTGAGCTGCTCGCACGGCCACCTGCGAGGATGTAGGACATCTCACAGTGAGTGGGGGAGCCCGAGGAGTCATGAATACCATAAAAGCGTAGAGCGAATGCTGCGAAATGAAGGGTCTGGCGAAAGAAATGTGCTTAGCACGCGAAAAGCGAGGACAGGCTAGGTTTGACCCAGTCAGTGCACAGGTACTCCTTGATGGGATTCCTAAGGGTCCGGAAAGCATGCGGCGTTCCTGCCAAAGGGGATTCTAATATAGTTCAGTACAAATTCCGTTATAGTGCACTTTATGGTGCAAGTTTCGGCTATAAAACGAGCGTTTTACGATAGTTGCAATTGGGGCTCGCCGAAAGCTTCGCTCCTCTAGGTGGTGTTGTTGAAAAAGCTGAGCCGTAAAGGACTGAAAGCATCCCAATCACAATGTCAGTTAACAGCAGTATTGGAAGTCTGCTCGCGCTTAAGTTCAAATTAGCCGCAGTAAACT